TGCTTCTCCCTCTCCCACTCCCCCTGCTTGTGTTCCTGCTCTTGCTATCTCTCTCTCTGTCAAATAAATAAATAAAATCTTTAAAAAAAAAAAAGAGTGACTACACATTAGCTATCAGAGTAAGAACCTCTGTTTGAGATGTAATAGCGCTTAGTCACTGATGACATATAAATGTGTTTCTCTGTGTCCTTTTATTTTGGACATTTCTTATTATCCCTAAGCTGGCTCCAGGATATTTTGGTGTCGTCTTCAGTAACCCTAAAGAACACCATCCTGCTCCCACCCTTGAGCATCCAGGTCCCTGAAGAGTCCAAGGAGGGGAACAGCATACAGTCCAGGGTTCAAGTGTGAGTGTGTATAGGGCACGGGCAGGTCAGATGAGCAGTGCAGTGTTTAGCATTTGCCCTTGTTTGCGTACTAACTTACAGCAATATCCTTTACTTACACAAAGAAATGCATTCTCCTGGGTACCTTGAAGCACCTAGCCCTGTCATCTAGTTTTATTTCCACATGTTTAATAGAGGCATGATGGGGTGAAGGCTGCTGGCATCCCGCCCAGATCCCTTTTACCTGGTACCTTCTGTGCCTCCCTCCGCCTGCCCTGGACCGAGGCTGCACAGCTTCCTCCTTCCCTGGAGCATGGCCATGGGCTACCTGGGAGCCCAACAGCCTCGGATAGCAACCCCTCTCCACTCCCACCCCCTCCCCACTCAAGACGGGCTTGGCTCTGTGGTGCAGTGTCCCCCCCAGAGCTTCCCCAGGGCTCATCCGGGCCTCAGCTGAGACCACGAACTTGTCTGGTTGTGTTTCCCTTGTCCTCGCCTGCTTCCCTCACACTGCTTCTTCTGAGGGCGCTCCCTCAATAAGTCACTTAAACAAGAATCCCTGTCTCGGGTTCTGCATCTAGACTGGCCTCAGATATGTAGGGACAGAGGGTCGTTTTTGCTGTAGGGACACAAGCTGGTGTGAGCAACAGGACCTGTGGCCAGTGGGGGAAGGTGTGCCAGTTCTCGGCGGCCCACATTCCACTTCAGCTGGCGGCTGCAGCATGGAAATCTCAGCCCAGGGCTGATCCTCCAATGTAGAGAAGCTAGAAATCAGATTTTTATGGGAAATACTCCTCTTTTAAATGTTGACAACTTATTTCATTTAAAAAAGTTCTGTGTAGGCAAACAAAGTTGCTACCTGCCGCCCTCACCCCAAACCACAGGCAAATCTACAGAGCCTCACAGACTACAACCTCGAAATATTCTTTCCTGAGAGGTTGCAGGCCCAGCAGGGGCTGTGTCTAGGAACTTAGGAAGGTGTTGCTATGTCTGGGGCTGGCGAGATGCCCAGGGAGACCCCCTGACAAGGCAGAGGATAGATAGCCAGGCCTCAGAACATCTGGTGTGTTCTCTGAAGCAGGGGCGAGAAGTAGGTAAGGCAAACTGCTAACTTCCCACAGAATTTGGAAATACTTTAGCTTTAGAATTTATGGTAAATTATTTTGTTAACAAAAGCTAAGATAACAGTAAGACTTTTTTTTTTTTTTTTTTAATTAACAGTAAGACTTAAGGGACCTGCATCTCATTCCTGGTTTTGTTATTAATTATGAAGTTAGGTAAGCTGTTAGCCACTGATTCTCTGGGTTCCAAACTAGGGCATGGGTAGATCTACCCAGGAAGGATTTAACAGTGAATTTTTGTTATTAAATACCGCCTTTTATGTATTATTTTTGTTAGTATTTGTGTCTTGTCCCTCTCTTTATTTTAAACTCTTTTCTATCATTTACTTTGATTTTTAGGTAGATTGTTTACAAATACCATATAGTTGGATTTTTGTTGTTGCTGTTATGTGTTTGTTTCTTTATGTTTTGTTATTATTTCCTTATTCTTAATCTTTTAATGAGGATATTTAATTTATTCAAATTTATTATGACTACTGACAGTGTTTGGACCTTTTTTTGACATCTTATTTGATATTTCATTGATTAGATTTATTTTGTTTTCTTTTTTTAAATTTTTATTTTTTAAAAGATTTATTTATTTATTTGACAGACAGAGAGAGACACAGCGAGAGAGGGAACACAAGTAGGGGGAGTGGGAGAGGGAGAAGCAGGTTCCTGCTGAGCAGGGAGCCCGATGCAGGGCTGGATCCCAGGACCCTGGGATCATGACCTGAGCCAAAGACAGACTGAGCCACCCAGGCGCCCCTCTTTTTTTTTTTTTTTAAAGATTTTATTTATTTATTTGACAGAGAGAGAGAGCACAAGCAGTTGGAGTGGCAGGCAGAGGGAGAGGCAGGCTCCCCCACCGAGTGGGGAGTTGGACGTGGGACTTGGTCCCAGGACCCTGGGATCATGACCCAAGCCAAAGGCAGATGCTCAACTGACTGAGCCACTCAGGTGTCCCTAGATTTATTTTGTTTTCTTAACTTCACCTCCTTTTCCTCTCATAGTTAGAGGATTCAGTTCAGTATCCTATATCTGATCTGGTGCTGCTAACCCTCAATTTCTTAAAATACATTAAAATGTATATATTTTTTTAACTTTAGTAATTAACAATTCTCTAAAATCTTGTAAATTAACAAGGCAGGACCCACTCTAGAAGGTGCTAGATGGAAAAACATGATACCATCTACTACATATTACATATAATTTCCCTCTGTGGCAGAATAGTGCATTAAACATTTATATTTCTGTTGAATTTAATCTGACATGCTCTTTTATTTCCAGTGTCATTAAAAAAGAATTCCATTCAAACAAAAATTTAAAATTTATCGACCAAATATTTAGTCATTGATTCCATTTTTTGGTGACTCATTATTTCTCATTTAGATATACGGTATTTATATCCCTTTTATTTAGGAAAAATTAATTGGAGTTTCTTATTTGTGACTAATTAAATATTATTTTTTATAATGATGTATAATAACTTTCATATGCCAACTCACAAGTGTATTTAAAATGTTTATTACTATATCATATCCTTGTATGGATATACTACAATCTATTCACTTTTCCCTGTTTTTAGACATTTGGATTTTTCGCAATTATTCTTTACTATAAATGACATAGCAAAAATGTATGAGTCAGTGTTCTGGGTTGCAAGAAACAGAGATGGACTTCAATGAACAAAAAGACAAACAGAATAAATGTATTGGGAGAGTTGGATAGCCCACAGACTTGGTGAGAAGTTTGGCAGATATCAAGGTACCCAGAAACATGGCTATAGAAACTCCCTAGAAACAGGCTGGTTAAGGGCTGCATCATAGCCACCAGACACCCCCGCTAGATGATCACTGCTGCCACCCTGACTGCTACCAAGACTAGGTCCCCAAGGTTACTGCTGTCACCATTAATTACTGTCCCACTTCCCCTGCAACTTTGTATCTCTCTCTTTCCCTCAAGAGTCAAAGTCCAGGATGTTGACTTCTGCCTGGCTAATTCTAAGTCATTTGCTTGTCTTCCTGATGGCAGTGGGTGGGCAGAAGAGGTGTCTGGTGGGGACCTGTCTCCTACTAAGGCTCATGCAGTGTTTGGTTTCACTGAAACAGAAAGGGAGATTGGATGCTGGGGTCAGGGGGAGACATGTAATTATTGTTATGTAAATTTTTACATATATCTCTTCTGGTTACTGCCTAGGGATTGATTCCTGGTATTAGAGTCATGAAACCAATGTGTATGAAATTCTTAAACTTCTTTGCCCTCCATTTGTCCCTTTATTCTTTGTGTTTTCATGATTCTTCTGTCCTTGTATTACACGTTTCTCTGGGTGACCTCATCCATTTCCATGGTTCAAGGGTTTGAGCCGCTGTAGATATGTGGGTGAGTCCAAAATACTTATTTCCAATCTAGGTCTCTATCTTGAACTTCAGACAAATATATTTAACTACCTAACATAATCTGTAGATATCCTAGAGACATCTGTGAATATCAAAAAGTCCCAAACAATTCGTCATTTTCCTCCTTGAGCCTATTATAGTATTCCCTCATTTGGTCAATATGACCACTATACCCCTAGTTCTCAAAGTCCAGATTTTGGTTTTATCTTTGATCCTTACTCCTCCTTTCACTCTTCTATCAAATTATCTCCAGATTCTGCAAATTCTACTTCCTAAGTATCTCTGCAATCTGTCCTGTGTTCTGTATTCCTTAGTTTAGGTGCTCATCACTTTAGTTCTAGATTATGGCTTTTGTTTCTTTTTTTTTTTTAAAAGATTTATTTATTTGAGAGAGAGAGCACACACACGTGCATGTGAGTGGGGGGGGGGGGGGGGAGAGAGAGAGAGAGAGAGAGAGAGAGAATCCTTGAGCTCGATCCCAGGACCCTGAGACCATGACCTGAGCCCAAATCAAGACTTGGCTGCCCAACCGACTGAGCCACCCAGGCACCTGGGCTTTTGCATCTTAACTGGGTTTGCTGCTTCCAGTCTTGCCCTCACTAGCTGCAGTTTTAAAGATTTAATTTATTTATTTTAGAGACAGAGAAAGAGAGAGAGCATGCATGTGTGCACAGGGGGAGGAGTAGAGGCAAGAGGGACAAGCAGATTCTGTGCTAAGCACAGAGCCCAACATGGCACTCGATCCCACAACCCTGAGACCATGACCTGAGCTGAAATCAAGAAAGAGTTGGATGATTAACCAACGGAGCCACCCAGGCGCCCTACCAGCTCCAGTTTTAAAATGCATAGACAATCATGTTTTTTCCTTGATTAAGATGTGATGAAGATTGATTATTTCCTCCAGGAAGCCTTCTCCAACCACTTTGTCTCTCTGCTCCTTCCTGTCCACAAAGGTTAGCTGGCCCTTCCTGGTCCCCATGGCACCTTGAGCTCACCAGCACTCTTCATACCTTGTTAAAATCTTTGCTGCAAAAAGACTGAGAACTCCTTGAGGGCAGAGCTTATGAGATTCATATCGAGTCACCAGTGCCCAGTGTAATGCCTATGCACAGTGGGTGCTCAGTATAAGATTTTTGAATGAATGTATGAATGGGTTTTAACCCGTTATGAAACAAGTGGTAGTTGAATAAGGAGTTAGATGACCAGTTAAACTTATGAAACCCAAACACCTGCATTTATAGACCCTATGTTACCTTTCAGGGACAAATCTTGGAAATACCATTTCCATTATAGGGTAAACATGATTTCTTATTCAATGTATCACAAACCACTTTTTCAAAGTGGAGAAAGGAGAATGCTGTAAGAACCAGACTGTGAGGCCAAGAGATTTATTCCACAGGGGAAAAAACCTACAAAATATAGGATATACTTTATACAGATTTGGCAGATAATGAAACCATAACTATTTAATTTTTTTCTTTCACTATCCCAATGTTAATTTTGTAGGTTTTTTTTTTTTGGTATTGTTTTGGGGTATGTGCGTGTGTGTGATGAGCATTGGTGTAGCAGTCTGAAAGGTGTATTTTGGAAAAACATAACATGGGAATGACCTGGTGACCCTTGTTTCCTCTTAGGGCCATCAGTCTGGCTGCCTGGTCCCAGGAGAAGGATACACACTTGCGATCACCCAGCACCAGCAGCTTGCTGAAATTGACTCAAAGCTCCAAGAACTTTCTGCAGCCTCACCAACAACTTCCAGCTTTTCTCCAGGACTTGAAAACCAGAGTGATCAGGTAGATTTAATTTAAGAGCATACATACTGTTCAGGTTTGTGTGCTAAAGCTAGTTCACAGAATTTGACAATCTGCTTGTTAACTGAAGAGGTTTCTTCCCAAATGTTTTTTCCATGACTACAAATGCAGTGATAGTAATAGTAAAGTGTGTGTATTGTGTGTGTTTTTCTTTGGTGACTTCACTTCCTCTTCATTTTTCTTTCAGTTGGTAATTTGCTTGGAGGGGTCACTTAGGAAATATTTATTTTCATGTTATTATGTCTTTCTGATTTAAGCTAACTCTTTTTTTTTTTTTTTAAAGATTTTATTTATTTATTTGAGAGAGAGAGAATGAGAGAGAGCACATGAGAGGGGTTAGGGTCAGAGGGAGAAGCAGACCCCCTGCCGAGCAGGGAGCCCGATGCGGGACTCGATCCAGGGACTCCAGGATCATGACCTGAGCCAAAGGCAGTTGCTTAACCAACTGAGCCACCCAGGCACCCTGATTTAAGCTAATTCCTGATCATGATCGGGAGACAGGATAGGAAAGAAAACTGATAAAGCGCTCTTTTGTCCTTTGACAGCCTTATTTCTCTTCATTTCTCTGGTTCTAGGTATCAGCAATGGCAACTGCTTGTCTCTTACACTGCCAGATTCTTCTTTTAATTTAACATCAAGCAGTGAGGCTCATTACGTTGTTGATGGCTTCTCTCTTATGAGGATTTTGAAATGCATGTGTTTCCTCTCTTGCTAGCTGTCTCAAATATTCTTTTACAATTTTCTGTGTAGAAAAACAGAAGAGTAATGGCAACTTTGTAAAAGTAAAATTCTATTTTTCTCCCCTCAGTGCTTCATGAGATCTAGCTTGGGGTCGGGTAGTAGTTTTCACCCAAAGAGAAAATGGCTGGTCTTTTGTTATTCTACCTCTACCAGTTTTGTAGGCATTTTACCAAATCAGTTTCTGTACAGTCTTAGATGCATGTGACTTTTTTGGTCCTAAAAAAGATTTAAAAATAAATGTTCTATAGGTAATAATTTTGCTTTATAGTGAGTCTCGAAGCCATCGACTGAAGGTTGGGGATCTGGCTTTGGGCCATTTGAAACTGCTTCAAGGGAAAAGAGGAGTGTTAAGATGTTCCAAAGAAAATTTGGTCACTGGCAAAACCTTTATGGAGCCAGGTCGGCTTCCTTAGCTTATGTTTGCAAGGGCCAGGCACAGCTGCTTCTGAGCCCTTTATACAGCAAGGGTGGTGGTAGTGGAAACCACTCATTTCTGGATTGGGATAAGAGTTCTTGGAAAACAGAATTGGAATCTCTGGCCCCACCCAAATGTACCCCAGGACTTTGACACCAGTTATGCCACTCGTTTATTTATGTTACTGGGTGTCATTTCCCAAAAGCAGGAATCCAAGATGGGGAAATAAAATTGTTCAGGGATACTCTTTGTTCTTTTTGTGTTACAACTGATTTTGTTGTTGTTATTGTTACTGGATTTCAAGGATAGTTGAGATCTCAAAGCTGAGTAATGATCCTATAGATAGAAAATAACCTTTTTCATGACAGTCAAAGGTTATTCTTTAAGGAGAGATTGAGAATTTAGAGATTTGTTTAGCCATTAGGGCTTAACTAAAGTGACTATGGTAAGATTCTGTCATTGTCATTTAAATCACATTTTCAGAGTTCACATTTATAGTTCAGAAAAATATTTAAAAAATACTAAAAGGGAAAACCAGTATATTACTTGATTGTCACATACTGAGATTATGTGTTTTTATGTGAAACAACATATGGTTAGAGAGAAAAGAGAAAACTGCATTTTGGGACTCCCACTGGATGCAGAAACAGAAATGTAACATCATAGTTGATGAAAAGAATTAATTAATGGTTCTTGCATGCAAAAAAAATTTGTCTTTTGAGCTTTTGTTCAATTTCATCTTGGCATTTCCTCATTTCTAACTAAAACCAGCATTGCACACTGAATTTTCAAGCCAGAAATGCTGACATGGCAAATTATTTTGCAGATATTATTTTTGGATTGGAATCCTTTTTGGATAAATAGACTGAAAAGTATCTTGGTTCAACCTTGCATATCTGTGCAGTTGATGAATGTGCTCCAATCTGTTGCTGAACCACAAATATTCATAGTGCATATTCACATTATTTTTATTTTTAACCCTTCTGCAAACCATTAACTCATCAGTAATTTTTCCTCTGTGCTCCTTATGAAAGAATGTCTTTCAAGTGGAATACGAATTTCTGTTTTTCAGCAACTGATTCTGCAATATTAATCAAGTGCTCACTGTAGGAATTGTAGGGCACTGACAGACAAGGCAGGCGAACGTAGAACTGTGGAGTCAAAAAGCCTCACTTCGAGTTCTGACTCCTCCACTGACTAGCTTTGAGGCCTCGGGCATTAATTAGAAGCACCCAGAACCCTAGTTTCCTTGACTATCCAGTAATAATAATACCATTCTTTAGGGCTCTTTTAAAGGGTGTTTGAGTTGATTTGTGTAAAGTGCTAAGCACTGTGTCTGACACAAAACTCAACCAATGATGTTACTATAATAAGTGACTTAAGGAACACCTTTCCTTTCCTTTTATACACATGTGGTACAAGACGACATAGGTGAGCACAACAGAAAGCTATAGAAGCAAAGTGCTGTGGTGCTTCCAGGGAGCGAGAGAAAGCGCATCCAGAAGGAATATCAGGCAGGTCCAGTTCCACAAGAGAGGGACCGGAGGAGGCTGAGGAACTAGTGAATGAGGCAGAAGGGGCCAGAGGCCCAGAGAAGACCGCCATTATACAGCACGAGGTTGAGAATTGGTGGCCTGCATGGCAAATTTGACTCACACATGGGTTTCCTTTAGCCCGCATAGGGCTTACAATTTTTTTTTAGGCGACATTTCAGAATTGGGTGAATTCATATAAATGTCTACATTTCTAGTTTTTCTTGGGAAAGTAGAGAGTCCGGCAACCTGAAACCTGAATCCTTGCTTGGCAAATTACAGGATTGCTCTGAGTAACAACTGCAGCTTTCTGTGGAGCACGGGTTCTCCCATTTGCTGCAGTATTCACGACTCCGTATCGTATTGCAGGCCCCGAGGCCTCCTGCGTGCATTTGGGTCATTTACCCAGTCCCTGCGCAGGCCGTCAAAACCTCATTGAATGCCTGCTTGTTTTGCCGGAGATGCTGTGGGGGCTGACATCAAGTGTCCGATTGGCATGTGGCTTCATCTCCAACCTTTAAGCAGCTTGTAGCATCCTGGAGGATAGTTGTGGAGTGACCATATGGTGAAAGAAGTATCACAATATGCAAACCGATCTTAGGAAAGTATAGAAAGTGTGTACTGGCGGGGAAGGGCACAGAGAAAGGAGAGGTTATTTGCTGAAGGCATGATATTTAAAAAATTCCTTTGGAGATTTTTTTTTGGTTTTGTTTTATTTTGGTCAAGAAAACAGTTTCCCAAACAAGTTGAAACGTGCAGACTTTCTGACTTAATGGACTATAGCAACTATAAGGGGCTAAGTGGGTAGGCGCGTGAGCCTAGGATGATAAACGTACTCGAGTCAGAATAATTTGAGAGGCTCCAGAGATGTGACTCAGGGATTAAGGAAGTTGCTGTGAAAGGAGCAGTTAAGAAATCTTTTTTTCCTTTTGGGCTTGCTGATTAGGATATTCTCAGAGGATACCTTGGCCTGCCTCTTAAGTTTATGGCAATATTTTAAAAGCAGAATTTGGCTTTTACGTATCTGATTTCCTTAGTGTAAGACAAAGCATGTGGTCACATTCAGAAGGAAGAATGGCATATTACTACTATGGCTGTAATGTGAATAATATCACATGGGTGCCATTTTTACATCTGGTTTTTATTTTCATTTCATCTTAGCAAAAGAGAACTAATTGAAGCAATTTTTTTCTTAAGATCTGTGGTTTAACTGTGCATACCTTTCCATATCCATCCCCTAACCCTCCAACAAATCAGTTAGTTCTTTCCTCATATTGTAAATCCCACCATAAAATTGAGTGATGTTCTATAATTTAGTCGCCATATTTCTTATTTGTAGCTGTCTTAGATTCCAGCTTTCTCTTGAAATATCTAAGGTATAGGAGTTATGTGGGTATTTAGTTTCTTAAGTCCTTAGCAACTGGATTCAATAATAAATTCTATTCCATTTGGCTCTTGTAAAGAAGTGTAATTTATTCATGTCTCATGCAATCAGTCATACTAAATCTAGAATTCCAGTTCTATGGTTAGATTTTTTTTTTCTGGTTGGGAGAGGGTCTTCAAATTGTCCTCATTGAAAAGAGGCATTTCTTTGTTCTTAAACCAGCTAGTTAAACTGAACATAAAGGTCTCCCTTAATTTGATTTATTTATTTTTTTGTTTTTAAAATGTTGATTCAGTTGTATGCATTTTGGTAAGACCAACAAAAAATTAACGAACATTTGTTTGATGGAAATTGTAGTTGTATTCATGTTTTTTCTTACCAAGAGCATACTGTTCCTGACAGCAACAATTAACTGTTTTTTGTGTCTCTTCCTATTTCACCATTAGCTAAAGTTGAGGAAATAGAAAATGTTGTTTGACATGTAATCCTGAAAGATGTATCATTGTTGAGTCCAGGGTTTTGCAGAGTCCTGATGATGGCCAACTAGTCTACTTGACGTCAGATTACTCAATACCCTAGTTGAGGGCAGGAATCTGGGAATTTTTTATGTATGCTAATCACAAGCACAGAAATCTTATTGACCATTGGCTCATATCCAAAAACTATATAAGTATGCTATAAGAGCATGGATTTTTGGATTGGGGAATAAACAAGAAGTTGTTTTGAAGGTCGTTGCTAACCTGTCAAACATTCCCAAATAAATCTGGGGAATTCTTCTTGCCTCTTATGTTTTATGGATTACTTTTAAGTTTGTATTTATATTTCTTTATTTTTCTATGTTAAGTATCCTGTGTAGTCAAGGTTTCTTTTGTTTCATTCTAAAATGGTAAAAACAATTTGGCCGTAAGAT